ATCATCATCATCATCATCATCATCATCATCATCATCATCATCATCATCATCATCATCATCATCATCATCATCATCATCATCATCATCATCATCATCATCATCATCATCATCATCATCATCATCATCATCATCATCATCATCATCATCATCATCATCATCATCATCATCATCATCATCATCATCATCATCATCATCATCATCATCATCATCATCATCATCATCATCATCATCATCATCATCATCATCATCATCATCATCATCATCATCATCATCATCATCATCATCATCATCATCATCATCATCATCATCATCATCATCATCATCATCATCATCATCATCATCATCATCATCATCATCATCATCATCATCATCATCATCATCATCATCATCATCATCATCATCATCATCATCATCATCATCATCATCATCATCATCATCATCATCATCATCATCATCATCATCATCATCATCATCATCATCATCATCATCATCATCATCATCATCATCATCATCATCATCATCATCATCATCATCATCATCATCATCATCATCATCATCATCATCATCATCATCATCATCATCATCATCATCATCATCATCATCATCATCATCATCATCATCATCATCATCATCATCATCATCATCATCATCATCATCATCATCATCATCATCATCATCATCATCATCATCATCATCATCATCATCATCATCATCATCATCATCATCATCATCATCATCATCATCATCATCATCATCATCATCATCATCATCATCATCATCATCATCATCATCATCATCATCATCATCATCATCATCATCATCATCATCATCATCATCATCATCATCATCATCATCATCATCATCATCATCATCATCATCATCATCATCATCATCATCATCATCATCATCATCATCATCATCATCATCATCATCATCATCATCATCATCATCATCATCATCATCATCATCATCATCATCATCATCATCATCATCATCATCATCATCATCATCATCATCATCATCATCATCATCATCATCATCATCATCATCATCATCATCATCATCATCATCATCATCATCATCATCATCATCATCATCATCATCATCATCATCATCATCATCATCATCATCATCATCATCATCATCATCATCATCATCATCATCATCATCATCATCATCATCATCATCATCATCATCATCATCATCATCATCATCATCATCATCATCATCATCATCATCATCATCATCATCATCATCATCATCATCATCATCATCATCATCATCATCATCATCATCATCATCATCATCATCATCATCATCATCATCATCATCATCATCATCATCATCATCATCATCATCATCATCATCATCATCATCATCATCATCATCATCATCATCATCATCATCATCATCATCATCATCATCATCATCATCATCATCATCATCATCATCATCATCATCATCATCATCATCATCATCATCATCATCATCATCATCATCATCATCATCATCATCATCATCATCATCATCATCATCATCATCATCATCATCATCATCATCATCATCATCATCATCATCATCATCATCATCATCATCATCATCATCATCATCATCATCATCATCATCATCATCATCATCATCATCATCATCATCATCATCATCATCATCATCATCATCATCATCATCATCATCATCATCATCATCATCATCATCATCATCATCATCATCATCATCATCATCATCATCATCATCATCATCATCATCATCATCATCATCATCATCATCATCATCATCATCATCATCATCATCATCATCATCATCATCATCATCATCATCATCATCATCATCATCATCATCATCATCATCATCATCATCATCATCATCATCATCATCATCATCATCATCATCATCATCATCATCATCATCATCATCATCATCATCATCATCATCATCATCATCATCATCATCATCATCATCATCATCATCATCATCATCATCATCATCATCATCATCATCATCATCATCATCATCATCATCATCATCATCATCATCATCATCATCATCATCATCATCATCATCATCATCATCATCATCATCATCATCATCATCATCATCATCATCATCATCATCATCATCATCATCATCATCATCATCATCATCATCATCATCATCATCATCATCATCATCATCATCATCATCATCATCATCATCATCATCATCATCATCATCATCATCATCATCATCATCATCATCATCATCATCATCATCATCATCATCATCATCATCATCATCATCATCATCATCATCATCATCATCATCATCATCATCATCATCATCATCATCATCATCATCATCATCATCATCATCATCATCATCATCATCATCATCATCATCATCATCATCATCATCATCATCATCATCATCATCATCATCATCATCATCATCATCATCATCATCATCATCATCATCATCATCATCATCATCATCATCATCATCATCATCATCATCATCATCATCATCATCATCATCATCATCATCATCATCATCATCATCATCATCATCATCATCATCATCATCATCATCATCATCATCATCATCATCATCATCATCATCATCATCATCATCATCATCATCATCATCATCATCATCATCATCATCATCATCATCATCATCATCATCATCATCATCATCATCATCATCATCATCATCATCATCATCATCATCATCATCATCATCATCATCATCATCATCATCATCATCATCATCATCATCATCATCATCATCATCATCATCATCATCATCATCATCATCATCATCATCATCATCATCATCATCATCATCATCATCATCATCATCATCATCATCATCATCATCATCATCATCATCATCATCATCATCATCATCATCATCATCATCATCATCATCATCATCATCATCATCATCATCATCATCATCATCATCATCATCATCATCATCATCATCATCATCATCATCATCATCATCATCATCATCATCATCATCATCATCATCATCATCATCATCATCATCATCATCATCATCATCATCATCATCATCATCATCATCATCATCATCATCATCATCATCATCATCATCATCATCATCATCATCATCATCATCATCATCATCATCATCATCATCATCATCATCATCATCATCATCATCATCATCATCATCATCATCATCATCATCATCATCATCATCATCATCATCATCATCATCATCATCATCATCATCATCATCATCATCATCATCATCATCATCATCATCATCATCATCATCATCATCATCATCATCATCATCATCATCATCATCATCATCATCATCATCATCATCATCATCATCATCATCATCATCATCATCATCATCATCATCATCATCATCATCATCATCATCATCATCATCATCATCATCATCATCATCATCATCATCATCATCATCATCATCATCATCATCATCATCATCATCATCATCTCTGCTCCTCATTCTAACTACGAGAATTAGCCCAGAAGTCGGAGACTTGTGCGGGAGAGGAGGCGGCATATTATTATTAAGCAGGCCGCATTTACCGCAGGAACGACTTATGTTGGTAGGCCCTAACCACCATTCAGTGGAATGAGGGAAACCCTGGAAAACCTCATTAATTAGGGGGGTGGTCAAATGCCAACCGGTGTCAATCTCTCACATTGACCCAAGCCAACATTCTTCCACCCTACCATACCTGCACAGAGGGGGCCAATCCTCCGTACAAGCATAGAAATACCCATATATTTTTTACATATTAAGAAATACCTCATTGTTCTGACACCAAAAATACATAATATTTGACGCGACCAGTTCGCTATACAGGGATAATATATTACCATGGTATAACTATAAATAGGTATGATATTGCGTATGTCGCGGCCATGTTTGATGACGTGTCATGGTGACAGGCTCCATCTCTTTTTACCGTGCGTTTCGCTTTTCGCGCCATTTATATGAACAGAAGCTGTCAGAATCTGTGACCTGTCAGAATCCGTTTAACCACAATAGATCTCCCTGCACAATATATTTACTAGCGTTTAACTGCGTTGTTTCTTTGTTAAATAGTTGTTTTATTTAGTAAGTGAAAGAAAGTAAGATAGCAGGAAAGTTTTCAAAAATTTTAAGATCCAAAAATGTAACAAGAGCAACAAAGCTAAGAGTATATGAAACAATATTAAAGCCCACAGTTATCTATGCGTGCGAGACATGGACAATGACACAGAAACTGGAGAACAAGTTGGAGATCTGGGAACGTAAAATGTTGAGGAGAATTTTTGGAGGAATTAAACTACAGAATGAATTTAGAAGAACAAATAAAGAAATAATGGAGTTGTACGGAAAGCCAGACATTGTTCAGGTGGTGAAAGCGCAGAGAGCTAGATGGCTGGGACATATTGCAAGAATGTCCAATGAAAGATGGGTTAAAAATACTTATGAGAGAAGGAGGAAAAATGAGAAGAGGACGACCGAGGAAGAAATGGTTGGACGAAGTGATATCAGATCTGAAGAAAATAGGAGTGAGGGACTGGAGGAAGGATGCGTTAGATCGAAAAAAATGGAAAAGAAGAGTGAAAGAACTCGAAGCCAAGGGCCGGTAGGCCTGTAGTGCTGTTGTATATATATTTAGTGATACGTAACAGTGATAATTATTAAAATGCGTTGTGCAGTGTTTGGGTGTAATTCAAACAATAATTGCAAAAATTAACAAAACTCACGGCAAGCGTTCCACGATAGCTAAAGCTCACCAAGGAAAGCATATCAAAACATAATATCGATGACTTTTGATCCACCAAGTTTCCTAGATACATCAGTTGTCGCCGAAGAAACTTCAGATGGTAATGATATTGCTGAGAGAGATAATGCGGAAGACAATGAGAAACTAGTTGAAAATGTAAGAGATGCAAACAAATATATTCAAGACTTTAGTAATTCACCCGCCATGCTGTATTATTTGAATCAACTTGATCCTTTACCCAGAGAATATGTTCATAAAATGATTGGAGATGTTCATAATGAGTTTGCCTTTAGATATGGTGTTAAATATGATCCCGATCATAATGAATTAAAAATTGGTAATGCAGCTCTACAATTCGATGGTAATAATTTAATTATAACGGGACTCCTGGACTCGAGTCCTGGACGAGTTAATTTTTAAGAAACATCCAGTTGGTTTCACAGAAGGTGATAGAAAAAACTACTTAGACATTGTTAAAAGAACGAATGCTAATAAAAGAAACTACTCCGAAAATGAACAAATTCAGGGTAATGGTTCCTACAAATATAAAAAAATCTTCTCCGCTTTGAATATACAACCACTAACATCGCGAAGACCTCGCAGTATAGCACCCTTAACTCGAAAGAAGTTAGGTCTTGGTATGTTAATGGACGCCTCGAATAATCCAATCGACTACGTATACTGGGACGATCCTAATGAACTTGTTGATAGATTAATGCTTTTAATTTCCTCTCAAACTGCTAGCGATACAGGTCACGTCAATGAGATCGTGTCTATTATCGAAGAGTTGCGTGAATCTAAAATTATTAAGTAAATAAGCAAAAACTTGTAGCTAAAATGACAATCGATAAATTTGGTAGATACATGTCACCCAAAGCATTTATCTGCTGATCATGATGATTTTGACGTAATATTAGAAAACATTGCAGGAAACATAATGGAGTTATATTAGAATGTTATTTTAACATTTGAGTCCACGGTCTTGTACGTACTTCGCTGGGTTTCGGTTTTGGTGGTGACGGTTAGTAACGTTACTTGTGGCCGCCCCCAGTATACTACCAACTCTAAACTGAATCTTAATTCGCAATTTCGAATTATAATTTACAATATTGATTGACGTCGCTGACGTCCCGGTTTGGACGCCTAATTTTGTGACGACCCTCGACTACTAGTTTCTCGGCGGCGGTGGTTGGCAGCCGGCGGTGGTGAGTGACGTCACAGGGACGTACTCCGGATTAAATCTTTTTGTTCGGTTTTGTCTCGGGCGCCAGTTTCCCTATCTTTTACGTGGGGGAAACTCCACGTGAACCTTACCCTCGGTTTAGAGTAAGTACTCGGGATAGCTGCAGTGAAGAAAGTTTAATTCCAGGGGTCTGTTACTTATCTTAATTTTAATCAAAGTAGTTCTCTGAGTGTAGTTATTTTCCTTTTAAAATAAACGGTCTTATCAGTGTAGGTCACAAAAAGATAGAGTGATGTACCCCGTATATTATATTTTTTGCTTATAACTCATTGCCTTGATCATAATAATAAACGTTATGAACTTAGAATATCAAGTAGAGATAAAAATTATGTTAGAGTCAGCATTTTGAATATATATATATATAAACGCTTTGTAGATTACAACCTTCAATTATAATATTGTCGTGAGATAATAAAGTTTGTACTTGCTAAACATACTTTTGAATTAATTATCCAACAAATTAATTTCACAAGTAAAACTGGCGACGAGGATCCGGGATTGTGTGTCGTTTAAACCTCTGAAGAATTTGAGTGATTTAAATAAACTTTTCTAAGTTGAAGACACCGCGATTCCACAACGAAAAACCGGGAAGTGAAAGACTGTCGATTGACGCATTGAAGTGACCGTCGATTAGAAGCTCATCTTCGAAGACAAGAATCACAACCGACCAGCCAAGGCCGTTCACTGATTGAAGACTTATCAAGAAAACAGCTGAGGCAACGACAAAAAGTAAGTCAAGCATTATTTTCCTTCCGACCTTTATTGTAATTCACCCACCTATTCTCTCTGAAATTCCTTTGAGAACAATAGGCTCGCTATTCATTGTGAATACCTAGGTTAAAGAAAACATCCAAAAAATAATTCAAGCAAAATCTCAAATCCAATTCTAGTCAAATTTTAGTTGTAAGTTTAATTTAGTACAAATTATTCCTGCAAACAATTTAGCCACAAAATTTAATTTTTATTTTTTTCAAAATTTTGAGAATATCAAGATTTAGTAAATACTTTGAATAAATTAAAAATTTCCAAATCAAATAAAATGGCTACAAGCAGAGAACAGAATCTACTTCCACCTGTAGATTATCAACTGTTACGATTATATATCGATAGTATTCCCAAATATGACGGAAATCCTTTTGGATTAAACACCTTTATAAATTCTTGCGATAACTTGGTTAATCAATTCTTTCATGCAGACAGGGATGCATTAAATACTTTCATATATCAGGCAATTTTAGGAAAATTAGTAGGCAAGGCACAAATGTTAGTAGGCTCGCGCATAGAAATTCGAAGTTGGTTTCAAGTCAAAGAAATTTTAAGATTAAATTTTGGTGACCAAAGAGACATAAAATGTTTAGAACATGACCTATTAAATTTAAGAATTTCCAAAAATGAAAATTATCACAGTTTTGGTTTAAGGTGTCAAGAATTGCGTAGTTTATTAGTCAGTAAATTAATTCATGCAAATAAAACGTTGCAAGAAAAAGAATTTTACTC